CTGTCTTTACCACATTTAAAAGGGCAGTGAGATGAGGCTGAGAAACTTCACACCAGCACAAAAAGGGTTAAAGAGAGTCCATGGGCCCAGCTAGCCCTGCCCCGCTATACCTGCAGCCAATGCCAGGCCTGGAGGGGGAAGAAAGCGAGAGAACCTGGTTCACTTGAGGGCTGACTGGTGAAGAGGCAGGAGACAGCTCTGCCCCTCTAGATGAGGGGAGCATCACTAGGAGGCTGACAACCAGGCCAGCCACCAGGGAGAAGCGCCGAGTCCCTGATTGAGGGAGACTGCTGAGGAGACCAAGGAACACCCAGCAGTGAGTGAACTGTGTGACTGAACCACAGAGACATTACGGAGTTAAGACCTTGCAATATTACATCTGCTCCCACCTAGAGGGACATCAGGCTGGGGCTGGATGCCACAAAAAGTCCACCAGGGGGTGTCACTCGAGTCGAGCCACTACAGACTGTTTGGGCTACAGAGGCCAGGGCCCAAACTGAAGAAACAGAGGTCGGAAGTAGTCCAGGGCAGCGGACTTAGATTCTCTGCTGGGAGGATCCTGCCAGTGTTGCTTCACCCAGGGCATTGGGCTTGGACCTGGAGAAGGAGGAGGGCCTGGGCGGACCTGGGAGAAGGAGTGAGGCGCTTCTGCCAGGGAAGCAAGTTGCCAGATGTCAGGTGCGCCAATCACTAGGCCGCCCAGCCTTTTGAACACCCTATTACAGGCCACAAACCTGCTAGTGAAAGTCATTTTATTTTGAGCTTTCTTAGGGGTCTCTATAAACAATAGAAAATAAGAAAAAAAGAAACAAAACTGTCTGTACTTTTCATTGTCTATTTCTTTATGAAAATCAATAAAAAATTAACCACACATAGAACTGAAAACTACTAGACATCATCCTGTCCTTTCAGTTATGTTCCATGCACAAGGTCCCAATGGCTATCAACCTCCAGAGCATGTTTTGCAAACCATCTAACTAGTATACGACTGCCAAGGCATTTTCCAGGAATCCTTCTGAGGATGTATATTACAGTCCATGGTCACTGAATCAGGCCTGCTTGTTGAGCTCTGCCCAGCTCCATGATATGGATCACAGAGGCCCCAATATGGCACATCACTTACGCATGCATTTAACTTTAAGCATGTGCTCAGGTGATTTCCTGATTCATAACCAGGATTGGCTTTACTGTTATCTTCCAAAGTATCTTTGCATTTTAAGTTCTGTTCAACACTTTTACCATACGTCTACACTACCCGCCAGATCGGCGTGTAGGGATCGATCCCCGATCGCTCTGCCGTCGACTCTGGAACTCCACCATGGCGAGAGGCGGAAGCGGAGTTGACTGGGGAGCGGCGGCTGTCAATCCTGCACCGCGAGGACGCGAAGTAAGTGATTCTAAGTCGATCTAAGATACGTCAACTTCAGCTATGCTATTCTCACAGCTGAAGTTGCGTATCTTAGATCGATTCCCCCCTCTCCCCCAGTGTAGACCAGTCCTTTCATTTAGGAATTAAATTTCCTTACTTGTGTTACATATATTACTGTAGATATTTCAAAGTGAAGGAGTGCTACAGACCTAATTTACTTTTTCCACATTTAAGCTGTTTATTTTCTGCCCTTCATTCACCTTGGAAAGAGGAACTAGATTAGCCAGTTTCTCTTTCCAGCCCTCACGCACAAGCACCATGTGGCAGCGCTACCGGGGAATGTTTAAATCCAAAGAAAAACTGTTTTCATTGTATTTTTAGAAAAACATGAAAACATTTATATTTATATATGTTTTGTAAATCCCTTTGCCCTTAAAAAAACTCCCACACAAAACATATATTTTGGCCCTAAACTGCACAACATTTGCTCCAATTCTGATCCCATTCATATCAAAGGCAAAACTTCAGTTGACTTCAATAGGAACAGAAGCAGACCCGGTGCCCCTTTAATCCTTCAGAAGTTGGACTGGGACTTAGGGAGAAATGTTAAAATGTGACTCTCAGTTTCATCCATGTAACCTCATTAAAGTCAGTGAAATTGCACAGGTATAAGATGGGAGAATTTGGCTCAAAACACATTACCACACAACTGCTACTGGAAAAAGGCTGTGAAGATTCACTGGCTTGAAAGAGTTAAACAATACCACTAATAGGAGCCCTGTAAGTGGGACAGTTTTGAATGGGGCAAATGAAATGACTGCAGCTCATGTTGGCACTGGCTTAGTTAAGGTTATGTCAGCATTTCCCTTAATAAACTCTCTTCTGGGGGGTTAATAATCATCCTTTCATGTTGCACCAAGCTGAAAACTGGCAAGTAGGCTGAGAATGGAGATACGATTTGATTCTTTTTCTACAAAGATATATTTCAACTGGATCAGCCATAAAAAAACAACCAAAAATGTAGAGCTAGTGCAATTTCAGAGGCTTTTTGTGCCAGCCAATTCTGAATTACAGTAATATTTCGCTCGTTGCATTTATAAATTTACATATTTTTATATTGGCAATAAAGACATTATGCAATCAAAATTATCTGAAAAATAAAGAAAACAGATGATCGCTGATAGATCACAGTTTACAAAAGAAAAGAACAGAGGAGCACATTAAATTTACCATAAACGAGGGGCTTCATACCACGACAGCAATTGCTAATATAATTCATTTGTCATATAAATTATGTCCATGGGGACGTCCCATAAAATTAATTAGGTCAGAGACAGAGGAAAAACAAATCAAAAACTTCTAAGAACTCCAGCAAATAAGAGGTTTTAGAACCAGCAGCATCCACAAGATCAGTCAAAAGTTCCTCCTCCTTGTCTTGTTCCCGGGAGGCTAACATTGAGAAATATCTCAGGCTCATCAACATGACATAAATTATATTGGTTGTCAGGAAGGTACACAGCAATTTTGAAATTTCAAATTTTGCAAGCAGCACAGTCTTTCAAGTGGATTACATTATAAACTGAATGGAAGAATTTCAGAAATGCAATTCATTAATACACTAGGCATTAATTTTGTGGAAGTGGTTGGTATGAGCAAAGTGACATCAGCAAAATAAAGCACGTGTTGTATTCATCACACAACGTGGAACAAAAAAAATGCCTAAAACCCAACAATTTTAAAAATTAATCAATGGTGTAATTCCACTGAAGTCAAAACCACTGAATTTTGCCTATCCACAGACTTCAATGGAGTTAAAACATGACTGCCCCATGTATGTATCCCATACCACATTGGCTTATTTTAGTGACAAAACATGTTCTTACTATTATTTTTTCCTGTCAACACAGCAAGCATAGTCAGCAGCTGCCACATGACACACCCACAGAAGTTAATCCATAGGCCAAATGTTAGTCTGAACAGCAGGGCACAGGTTTTTGAAAGGAAGGTGCTTAGGAGAAAAATGGTGAAAGAATTGTTTGGGGATTGATTAGCTCAGAGACTCCCTGACATTAATAAGAGTTGTGCAGTTAAAACTTGACTGGGCACTTAACAGAATTTAGAGGTTAGTTTTTAGAAATGTGACCATCAAAAACCCTAGTTCTGGACATCCCCGAACTTCAGTGGGCCTTATCACTCCTACCAGATCTAATCCTACCCACCCATCTGTGAACATTTGTGAAATCTGGATCTGAAGTATGTGGGATAGCCCATGTTAGAGTGCAGGCTATGAAGTCCTTCTGTCATAAAATATTTGTGATGGCAAACTTCATAAATGAATAGTGCACTTTTTAATGCATTTGAGTGTCTTGCCTCAGCCTTAGGGAGGCTTTGGAGGACAATAACCATATTAACTTGATTTTTCGGTCTGGAAAGCCCAGGATAGCCCAATCACTGTGCAGCTTCACTCTCATTGCCACATTGTTTCGCAACAGGTTAGATATCCCACCAAGGATACGTATGGGATGGCTGCACAACACTGGACAATGCTTCAGACTCACAGGAAATACTCATCTCTCAAGCACAAAGCAATATGGATAAATATAAATACCATGAGCCAAATTATGCCCCTTCTCATGTCCTCCCATAAACCTCAGCAGAGCTGTACAGCACGTAAGCAAGCACAGAATTTGGTTCTATATATCAAGTTACCCATAATTTCTAGCGCTATTGCTCTTTGGGGGACCCACATATAGGAACATGTATACTAAAAGGTGTAAGCGCAAAAAAGGCTGAGCTAGCAATCGCTTAACTCAGAATTTGATTAGTTTTTGTAGATTTAGCTCAGAGCTTTAATGTAATTTAAATGCACTGTCGTCGTCTGCATTACATACATACCACACTGGGTAAGTGGGTGTGTGCATGATGGTCTGAGAAAAGGATTTTGTTTTAATTTAATTTTGAATTGATATGGTGAATTCTAGTGCACCAGAAATTGAAGCACCAATAGCACTAGTTGGAACTGGGCATTGTGCAGGCTGACACTATGCAAGATTCCATCATTCAGCTCTGCCAATGCACCTCAGTCCTGACCTGCAGCCTCCCCTGCTATTCAGTCCTGGGCTATTCACGCAGTTCTGCTAATGCATCTCAATCAATCCTGTTCTGCAGCACCCCTTGCTATTTCAGTCCTGTACTCGCCACACAGTACTCTGCCGACAAAACTCAGTTTGTCCTACAACTCCCTATGCTATTTCAGAAATGGGCTTTCACTGAGACATGACTGACAATCATGCCAAATTGTGTGCACTGGTGATGTGAAGCAGACATACAATAGACTAATCAAAGGACTAGACTGAGACCAGAAAACTCTATTCCCTTCTGCCTTAACCTAAATATGAACCCAGGTTTTTTCAGGCAAAAGGCTACTGAATTAGCCTGTGTACCTGATGCATAGGTACAGACAGATACTGTAGGTACACAGATGTCAGGCATTCAACCGTTCCAACTGGATACAGTTAGGAATGTATTGCCAATGGCTTTTCTGGTGTGAATCAACAGGTGGCTTGGCACCAAGATGACTATTTCCTTGTGGGTTTCACCTCTGGTTTCAGGACAGAAAATGAGATGATACCTTTTCAATGCTGCATTTCAAGTCGGCTATATGGAAAGCAATTCCAACCAATTCTCTCCCTCTTGCAACGTAGAGGAAAAGTGCCAGCCACTGCTGCTCTTGCCATCAATCCACAATGCAGGTGTTGGGAAAATGCAAAGAAAAGGGGGGGAAAAGAAGAAACAATAAAATACACAAATTGAGTTTTGCATACATGACAATCAGAATATATAATTACCACTTCTACAGAAAATAGCATAAAAAGGTAAAAGCACCAGAAAGAAAACAAAAATAAAAAAGTTGCTAGTCTGACAATCAAAGGTTTTCCTGAAACTGACAATTAGAGGGATAATTTCAAAAACAATTTATGCATGAACAACAAAAACAACAACAAAAAATGAACCCAGACTTTATTTAATATGATAGGATACTTTTTAAAAAACACAATGTCTTGGGAAGTATACAGTAAACTTAAAGGGACACCTGTTAAAAGAATACACCTATTACAAGAATAGAGTTTGCAGTCACTAAACCAAAGTATACACAGAAACATTATACCCCCACCCCCAAAAGTGTGGGTGTATGTGCATGTGTGTGTTTTCTCAGGGAAAAAAAAAGTCACAGTAGTTGAAAACAGACTAGTACAAGAAGTTAACCTGTTCTGAAGGCCATGAACTAAACCCTTCAATCAGAAGCCTCTTGAAAATTGGGAAGAATTTGGATTCAGATCCAAACTTTAACAGATTGAACTATATATAATTCCAGCTCCAAACCCCCTTCGTTTTTTGGAAAAGTCTGGATCTGAACTTTATAGCTTGCTCTCTGTCTCTGCCACCTCTTGTTGTGCATGTCTTATTTTCATAAGCCAAACACTAGTGACATCTACCTCTTCTATGACATGGATGAGATTTTTAAAAGCTCTCAGCAATACTCTGCTCCAACTGAAGTCTGTGGTAAAACTCCCATTGACTTTAATGGGAACAGAATTTGGCTAATGCTGAGTACTTTTGAAAATCTCACCCCATACATGTATCTGATTACAACAGTCTCCCAGGAACTGGTGTCTGTTACAGAGTGATACATGTAATGCAAACCTAAGTTGCAAAATGAGCTTTTTGGAACCAAGAAAAAATATTTTATTTCAGAGATATTTTGGAAGAGATGATCGCCAGAGTGCAACGTACTCCCAAAAAGAAATCAGGACTAGAAAAAGACTAATCTAAAATGTTTCCTCTGGTAGATTTGAATGTCCATTTATATCACAGAATTCTGTAGTTGGACCCTTTTGAACAATGATTAGGAAAGAAAAGCCAGCTAAACCATGCCTTTCAGATCAAGGCTTTGAAAACGAAGCATGTCTCTCCTCTCTGGTGACAAAATGGAGTAGTAACGTGTACAAAATCAATATGGCCACCAGCCAACATAATGGGGCCTTATTCTTCAGTCCACAAAGTGGGATCATAAAGAGCAGTGAGAAACTTTCCTTGACTGGCAATTATGGAAAATATGATCCTTTAGGAAGCTCCACACACCAGTGTACCTACAGAACATAGCCCTGCCGGATTAGGTCATACCAAAGCATCTGCGCTAATAGTGACTGAGGAGCCAAGTCAGGAAGGGAGAATGCACAGGGCACTGGACTAATTGGCAGGCTGTATTCTTGGCTCTTACACTGACCTGCAGCTTGCTCTGGGGCAAGTCATTTCACCCCCTCTGTGCCTCTATTTCCCAGCCTGCCCTCTTGTTTATTTAAACTGTAAGTTCTCCAGGGCAGGAACTGTCTCTCACTATGTGTTTGAAAACTGCCTAACACACTGTGGCCCTGATCTTGGTTGGGGCCTTTAGGCATTACAATAATACAAGTAATAACAATAACAGTATCTTTTCTCAGACAGCAGCCAATACTTGATGGTGAGAGGAAGGGAAAATACAACCCAATTGTGACAACACATTGCCAGTTGAACAGCATTATCCACAGGTTAAAAATATCTTCCTGTCATAAAATTAACCAGCCCTTTTAAAAATCCAGCCACAGTATTTGATACCAACAGCTCCTGCATAAGCAAAATCCACTACATTCTGAGTGGTCAATAAGGGTGGCCTCATGATTTGTGTTCCAACTCACTAGAAGTGAGAGATCAGAAATGGGGGATCCCGTGATTCCACTGTTAGAGGGGAAGACATGGCCGGCCCATGAGTTGCTGAGGTTGCAAAGGAAAAGCAGCTCTTTGACTTACTTATGCTTAAAGCCAATGTTATTGAAAATATAGTTCCTTTAACTGTTTCTAAATAATTCATGCTATTCATTTAATATTGTGACTCCTTCTTAGTACTTGGCTCTGTGTACTAACACTGCATATACTGAAGAGTAATTGGAGATTCTACAGTGTACTGAATGCCTCATACTTGGATTGCATCAAGAGCTGATATCCATATCCCCACATTTCTGAGGCACATAAACACGGTGTGCATGGAGGATATCAAGGAGTACCGTTGTACACAGCTCCGTATCTAGCGGAGTGCCACAGGGGTTGCTCCTGGTGCCGATTTTGTTAAACATCTTCATTAATGATCTGGATGATGGGATGGATTGCATCCTCAGCAAGTTCTCGGATGACACTAAGCTGGGTGGAGAGGTAGATGCGCTGGAGGGTAGGGACAGGGTCCAGAGTGACCTAGACAAACTGGAGGAGTGGGCCAAAAGAAATCTGATGAGGTTCAATAAGAACAAGTGCAGAGTCCTGCTACAGGCTGGGGACCAACTGGCTATGTGGCAGTTCTGCAGAAAAGGAACTGGGGATTACAGTGGACGAGAAGCTGGATACAAGTCAACAGTGTGCCCTTGTTGCCAAAAAGGCTAATGGCATATTGGGCTGCATTAGTAGGAGCATTGCCAGCAGATCGAGAGAAGTGATTATTCCTCTGTAATTGGCACTGGTGAGGCCATATCTGGAGTATTGCATCCAGTTTTGTCCCGCACCCCCCTCCACTACAGAAGGGATGTGGACAAATTAGAGAGAGTCCAGCAGAGGGCAACGGAAATGATCAGGGGGCTGGGGCACATGACTTATGAGGAGAGGCTGAAGGAACTGAGCTTGTTTAGTCTGCAGAAGAGTGAGGGGGGATTTAATAGCAGCCTTCAACTACTTGAAGGGGGGTTCCAAAGAGGACAGCGCTAAGCTGCTGTCAGTGGTGACAGATGAAGGTGCAATGGTCTCAAGTTGCAGTGGGGGAGGTCTAGGTTGGATATTAGGAAAAACTATTTCACTAGGAGAGTGGAGAAGCACTCCATCCTTAGAGGTTTTTAAGGCCCAGCCTGACAAAGCCCTGGCTGGGATCATTTAGTTGGGGTTATTCCTGCTTTGAGCAGGGAATTGGACTAGATGACCTCCTTAGGTCTCTTCCAACCCTAATCTATCTACGGAACTTGGATACTAGATGTTTGGAGCATCTTTAAGAGCAGTAAAAGGAAGGCAAAGTTCTCTTCCCGCTCATACCAACATTATCCTGTCACTGCTACTCCTTCTAATGTTTTCTGGCAAACTCCCAAATTTCAGTCTTACTGTTTGCTTGAGAGAAGCACTCAGAGGAGACTGTGGTTGTCTTGCTCTTGGAGCAAAAACACACCAACTTGTATCTCAAGATAATGGTTCAGGGGTAGATGGAGATTGAAGGAACAGGAATGATGGCTGTACAAGGGTATGCCTACACTGCAATTAGACTGACTCGGGGTCATGGGACTCGAGCTAAGGGGCTGTTTAATTGTGATGTAGATGTTCGGGCTTGGGCTACAGCCCAAGCTCTGGGACCCTCCCACCTCCCAGAGTTCTAGAGCCCGGGCTTCACACTGAGCCCAAATGTCTACACCACAATTAACAGTCCCTTACCCCAAGCCCTGCAAACCCAAGTCAGCTGGCATGGGCCACTCATGGGTTTTTAATTGCAGCATAGATGTACCCAGGGGGTATGAGAGCTCCCTGCTGACTAATCCACATAGGTCATTGCTGTTGGCATAAGAGGAAGATGAGCACTATACCCAAGGCCAGCAGAAGGAAATGGATTAGGGTATAATAAGTAAGCCCAGAACTACACAATTCAGGTTCCAATTTAGGCCAACCTTTTGTTGGGGCCAGCTGCAGGGAGTGCAAACACACATTCAGGTGCCCTAGGAATGGGGGCAACCACCACCAATAAAACAGCAGTTCCATGCAGTTCCCCAGCACGGCGAGTATAATGACAACATTTTCTTAACTCTGTCATTGGCTGTGAGAGCACAAGACCCTGCTTTACTGATCCTCTACCACTGCAGTGGCACTTCTTGCCTCAGAGATGTCAAGAGGTTTTATGGGAACCCACTTAGTGTTATGGTTTAATAGGCCTATTTTCAACCACATGCCTGAAAGGCCTTTAGACATTCCTTCCACTGATTTGTTTATTTTAAAGAATAGCAAGTGCCGAGTGCATAGGATCCTGTTCTATGGGCATGAGCTGCTAAGTTTGAATCCAGAACCATATCTAAATTTCCCTAGAGCTTGGGACTGTTCCGATCCAGTTTTGAACTGACCTGGCACAGAGATACAGGACAACAGAGAAATTCGGTAAGAGATGTGAATCTCCTCAATATTCAGGATGCTTGGTAGAGCTGAGTGAATAATCTGAAATAAATTAAATATTTGAGAAATTTTACATTTTTTTTCTACTTCCCAGAATGGTCAGCAAAAAGATGGTGACATTGTCTGTCTCTTATACTAAATTATTTGGGATTTTCTTCAGTGAAGGAAGTCTGCGGCTTATTCAAGTTGTGAATTGCAACTTGTGCTGCATTGGTGAGTCATGTGGTATTGGTTTGAGTCTCCGATTGGGTGATTTACAAAACCAACCAACCTCCTAAAAAAGCTAATTGAGAATTGCATAATGTATTGTTAAAATTAGCAGCACACACTAACTGACAGAGAATGAACTGCAAACGTATAATTCAAAATTCATTTTTGGTGAATAGCTGGGCATTTGAATGAAAAGTGTTTTAGCTACAAAAGCTTGAGCATGCAAATCTTCATGGAAAGTGAACAAAGTCATATCAAAATTCCTTTTCAAATGTGAATGAATATCAACTAACTTCCCCCCTGCACACTATTGTGTCAATTCAAGTGTCTGGATCTGGATTTTGCTTCAGGACTCTAATTCCACCATTATCTGGGACCTAGCAAATTGTGCTGCACAGGCAGGACAGAAGAAACAGTGAGTAACAAGATACGGTGAACACCCCCATCCACAGATTTATCACGAGGGGGTTGGGGTGAGTAAGATAGAAGGAAAGGAGAGAGGAAGCCAATGGTTCAGAGTGGACTGCTGCTTTGGTCAGAGATGTCAGAGTACACCAGAGGTAACAACAGGACAGAGAGAGACTTTCATAGAAGAGGAAATGGTTTGTAAACTTGTAACAGTCCACTATGCAGAAAGCTAGTCTTACTACATCAGAAAGGAGACGAGAGGTTGGAGAGAATGTGGATGAGCCTCGTCTCCTACATTTTATTCATTGCTCCCTGCTTGACGATCCATCTGCCTCTGGTCTACTGGGTCAAGGTTTGGCATTAGTGCTTTTTAAAATTATGATTTTAAAAACTGAACTGAGGGAAATGAATGATGAAGAATTCTGCATATGCTAGAGAGTCTGTTTCTACTCTTCAAAGTCCTTAATTGGTTATACAGACTGACTATCCTAGAGGCTGCCCTCTCCATCCGCAATTCACTAAGACAGCTAAGCTCAAAGGGAGAAATTAATCTCATTACTGAAAAACCACACAAGGCCCAATCCACCTGAGCCCTTCATGTGGGGCTTGAGTAGAGCCAAGGGATTGTGCAGGCACTGAACACTGGAGCGAATTTCACCCAAAAAGAGCACTGTGGCTGACGAATCCCTGGATGAAGCTCTTGGTAGTGAGTGTCAATGCAATCCAGGTAACAGTCTCTTCTCCTTTGCAGAAAGCATCAGAATGTGCACTAGACGGAGCACATTCAGCGCATGATGCAAACCCCATCTTTTTGCACAAGTCTTCCCCAACAATGAAGGCTTAAGAATGTCCTGGTTTCATTTCTCATGGACAAATGTCGATGGGAAAAAATTAAGTAACAGTGACTGAAGCAAGGAAAAGAAAAAAAAAAAAGACCGCGATCGGCGGCATCTCTACCGCCGCTTCATTCTACGGCGGCAATTCGGCGGCATGTCCTTCACTCTGAGAGGGAGTGACGGCCCTGCCGCCGAATTGCCGCCGAGTGGCCGGAGGTGCCGCCTCCCTCTTCATTGGCCGCCCCAGGCACCTGCTTGCTACGCTGGTGCCTGGAGCTGGCCCTGTCCCCTTCATAATGTCAGCAATACACAGCTAACTAGTCACTGTGATTTGGAACTGGAACTAGGGGAAATCTCAGTCAGGGTGGGAATGATCATGCAGGAAACCCTAAATCATTATTTTTGATGTGGAGCACTGGGAAATGCTACCACCAGAGATAAAGAGGAGTTTGAGCATCAGCAGTTTAGTCTCCTGGGAGAAACCTGTATTTGCTCACTTGCCTGCCTATTTTTTTGGGAGGGAGACAGAGTGGTAGGAGAGGAGGAAGACATCTTTCCTGCGGCAGCAAGGAACGCTGAAAGTGTCTGCATTTCAAACTTTGCTAAGAATGTATCTTTTGTTCCTTCTCCTGCTTTGTTTCCCTTTAATTATAGCTTTGCTGTAAATCCCATTTGTGAGCAGCTCTGATAAATGCAAATTTTAACTTGTAAGCAATACTTTTCAAAATACTACTACATTTGAAAATGAAAATATAAGAGCCTGAGGCATAAGATCTTCCCCACTCTACTCAACTCTCCAGTGTACAGTACTGCATGCTATTATTATTGTTGAATAGCATGTTGGGTTCTTGGCACTGTACACATCTACTGTACAGGGATATACAGCCTGTGCCCCAAGGAACTCCATACGAGGTGGGACAGAGCAAAGGGTATCGCACCAGAAATAGTTGCTGGAGGCAATTTGTCTGTGAAGCTCAGGACAGCAGAATGGCTCCTGGAACACTAGGGAGGTCCACAGGGGTGTTGAAGAAGGATGATGTCATAGTTGAGCCCCTGATATACGCATCCATAATTTCTCTTTATCACTTTGTGCTCAGGCATTTCAAGTACTAAAATTCTGGTAGTGCTTCAGACGGAAAGGTTTCCTGTACTCTTTTCCACACGCCTTCACCCAACACAGTCAGAGTTTGGCTGTATAATTAATATAGGCATGCAACAGCGTTCAATCACATACAACAGTGTGTAACCATCACAGCAGTATGGCCTAGTGCCTAGGGCACTGGTCTGGGAGTCAGGAGGCCTCAGTTCTGTTCCTGGCTCTGCTGTTTGCCCATGGGCAACATACTTCATCTCTCTATGCCTCTATTTGCCCTCCCATCCTGTGTCTGTCCTATCTTCTTAGACTGTAAGCTCTTCAGGACAGGGTCTTACTGTGTCTCTGTACAGTGCCTATCCCAACAGGACCACGATCTCAGCTTAAGCCTCTAGTGTCTACTGCAATACAAATAATCATCAATGGTGGTCCAATCTTAAAGTAGGGGCCATAGGTTAGTTTTGTATCTTTGACAATCATGGGGAAACCAATGGTCTTATTAATTTATTACAATAAAACTAAAATGTAAACTTGTTGTTTCTATCTCTTCAAGCCCAGTTTTAAAAGGTAGAAAACAAGTGGCCAGCATGGTCTTGTACGGTGGCAAGGCAGATCCCAAAATACTCTCAGCACTATTGGGCCCCTGCTTCCAAGGACCAACCCCATTTGCCCTCCCAGCTAGAGAGAAGTACCTGAATTAAAAGAGGAAGAACTCCTTAACAGAATGCTAACAGGTGTATTCCCAATTCTCTGCACAGGGCATTAGCCAGGAAACCCTCATTAGTGTTAATGAGAAGCGCATGGCTAAATTGCAGCCCATTCAGTTACCAACATGAGCCTAAGGCATGTCTCTAAAGCACTACAGAAAGTCTGTGTGATTGAAGGAAAGAGGGCTCTTTGCACTTGTTTTGCAGTCCCCATGGATCTCAGGATCCCTACTTGTTTCAGGGGGGAAGTCCTTAGAACTGGATAGAAAATAAACAATACAAGAATAGAAAATGAAGCAACAACACAAACTCTTCACCTGCAACACATAGCACTGAGGGCTGGGCCAAGGGAATTTTCAGAGCATAAATGTCTGTCACTGGCAGTAAGTTTAGTCATGTTTTTAAAACAGTGCTGAAAATATGCCCATTACATGTTGAGATGAAGCTCCCTGGGTACAAAAGGATGGTTATTCTAAGCTCCTGTGTTATTTCTCAGAGACAATAAGGCAGAACAAAGCATAGACTGAGAAAGAACAGTACAGACAATTCCTCTAACAACCCATATGTTGGACACGTCTACTGGCATAGGCCTGATCCTGCATACTTCACTAGGGTTACCATATTTCAACAAGCAAAAAAGAGGACGGGAGGAGCCCCGCCCTAGCCCCGCCCCTGCCCCTCCCACTTCCCGCCCCCCAGAACCCCCAACCCTCCCCCCGTTCCTTGTCCCCTGACTGCCCCCTCCTGGGACCCCTGCCCCTAACTCGCCCCCC